GCAGACGGGGTGTCGGGGACTGCGGCCACGCAGGAGCAAAGCCACCGAGGTCCCTGCCACCCTTGCCCCTGTGCTGGCACCCCCAGCCCAGCCTGGTGCTGCTCCGCCTAGCTCCACCGCCCCTTCCCGCTCGCCCAGTTTGCAACTTCCAGCCATCTGTGTGCTGCGCCACATGGCTGTCCCAGAATACTTTGCAGCGCAGGCCTTGGCAGCCTGACATTGCACAGCATCACACCCCCCATGCACACGGCCGGGCCCAAGCCCAGAGCAGCCCCCAGGCGGGTCCACGAACCGGGTGGAGCAGGGGCCTTGGGGGCGGCCATGCCAGGACTGGGCCAAAGCTGCTGGAGGGGCAGGGTGGCATGGGTGGGCATGTGGGAGCACGGAGCTGAGTGGGGTCTCAAGCCTCTGGGTGGTGGCTGATGCCTCCCACACTGCGCCCAGGTGCTGCTCTCAGCCCGGGATGCCAGCACCCAGCCTCCAGACTGATCTATCCAGGGACACTCCCAGGCTAATGCAGGGACCCCCGAGCCAGGGATTCCCCCACCGCTGCTCCACACTCCTGTCCCCGGGGGCCAGCAGGCCGTGACGGATGGCCCCGCCGCGCTGCCTGTCTGGGCCGATCGATGCCTGTGTCACCCTGCTGACGCTCTAGTTTTTCCGTATGTAAATCCATCAAGCCTGAAATTCCTGCACCCACAAGCGGCAGCAGCTGCAGGCAGGGAGGGCGGAGGCGGCTGGGGCATCGTCCTGTCCCCGGATGATGGATGGTTGGAGGCGGCGTGGAGCAGGCGTGGAGCAGACGCTGTGGGGAGCGCGGCTCACCGGCAGTCACTCAGCACCAGCTCCCGGTGCAGGGAGGCCGGGACACCTACCACAGGGCCTTGCCACGCAGCCAGGCTGCTGCGGGCCCCGCCTGCATGGGCTCAGGGCAGGCCAGGAGGGCGACGTGCCAGGGGGTACGCAGGGCACCAAGCACGCTCCTGCTGTGGGGCAGGCCCAGCGTCTGACAGCGGGATCCTCTGGGGCTTGTCCCTGTCCCAGGGGGGCTGCAGCAGCCCTGGGCGCTGGCAGACACCCACGAGGGCACCGTGGCTTTGGTGGGGGAGCGGGAGGCGGCTGGGAGCTCACGGCCCCAACAGACAACAGCAGGTCCCGGGTCTCCCAGCCTCTGCCCCAGGCCCCAGTGCAGCTGCGGGCCGGCCGCGTTGCACTGGCTTTCGAGCGGACGGCTGGGCCAGGCTGGCTGCAGCGGCCACGTGCTTGCTGCACCATGGTGCTGCGCCCGCCGTGCCTGCGGGGTGAGAGGCAGCGGTCCCAGGGGCCAGCACATGGCTGTGGGCCGTGGGTGCTGCTCCACTGCCTCCCACAGCTCCAGGCTGTGCCAGGCACCCAGGTCTGCCGTCACCCCCCACCCCAGGGCCAGGGAGCCCGGCCCGGGCACCGGCCCCAACCCTTCCAGTTGTGCCC